CCTCCTGATAGTATTTATTTAAGTAAATTTATTTTAAATAATATATTACGTAAATTTTATAATAAAACGTATAAGTAAAGAGTTAAAATGAAAGTTGTAAATAGAAGGTATAGATGGAGGGTGTAATTAATTTTATTATATTAATGTAAATATAGGATATTTTATTTCTTATTTTATTATTTATATGAATAATGCGGGGAAGTAGCCTATTAGCACTTTATAAGCTTCCCTAGTATTATTAGAAATATCAATTTCTATATTGCGATATATATAAAAAAAAAATTATAGGATGGATTATAATAGTATATTGAATGTATATAGTATTCTATTAATGATTTTAGACTAAAAATGGTTGTAAAATCTTAATTATAAAAAGTAATAATTAATAATTATTAATAAGAAGCGTAAATGTATACTTCTTAATATAGGGTAATAATTGTATTACTTATTATATTATACTATAAATTATTATATTTTACTTATTTTTAAAGGGTACTACTTAGGAAAAATATCTAAAATTTACAAATTAATATAATTTTAAATATGCTTCAAAGAAGTATTATTTCCGCTATTTATACGTACTTTATAATACCTTTATACCCCTAAATTAATTAATAAAATTAAAGTAGTAAAATAAAGAATTAAGTTAGATATTAAATACCTATATTAAAGTAGTTAATTAGTAGCTATCTCCTATTTTATTCTCTACTATTCCCAAAATTTAACTCGCGCTTTATTTAATAATTAAATAAATTCTTCTATCCTTATAGTATTAATAATGTTAATACTCTTTTGAATTATAAGGTAGAGGTTATTTAATGTTTAATCTAATTTATCTATATTACTATTATTAGCTTCTATAAAATTTAGAATTTCTTATACTTTTATAAATAATTGTTTATTAACCTCTTAAAAATTTAATTTGTACTTTCGAAGTATATTAATAATATAATTAAAAGTACCCTTAAATAATGTACGAATCTCTTTATAAATTTCGAACCTATTTTTAGCCTAGAGACTAATTAATTAAATAAAATAAATAAATTATAATAAATTAAAAGATAGGTAATAATGCTAAATATGAGTATAAAGTAGCTACTAAGTAGCGAACTAGCGGTATTTATATTATAGTATACCTGTAAATCGTTTATTAATACCTATAGGATTATTTTTAAAGTTCTAAAGTCTTTTATTTTATAATTCAAAGAAATTATCTTCCTTAGAAAGTAGTTGTTAAGGAATGAGAATTATATTTAGTTATATATATTTATCTTCTAAATTATTCTTAAAATAAATAAAATATTAGCGAACTAACTATTAAAAAAATACGGGATCAATCCTACCTAATAGGTTGTTCTCTTAATAATAATATTTCTTAATTAAATATATAAGTATATCCAAATTTAAGGAATTACTATTTTCGTTACTATTCTTTAATAGTACGATATTACCGAAAAATAAATATTTATATACGAATTAGTAATTTATCAAACCCAAAGTTTGGAAAAATTATTGTAAATAATCTTTAATAGATTTTAGTGTAGGATTACTACTTTTCAATTTAATAAAGGTAATTATATATGCTATTTATAACTATATAAAAAATCCCCTTTAAATTATATTGTATAATTATCTTATACTTTAAAAGGGTATTAATAATTTTTAAGTAAACATATTAAAATTCAATTATATTTATAGTATTAATTTATAAAAGTAGCGGGATTGTATGCCTATACTAGTATACCTAGTATTTAGTATATAGCCGCTAATTTTTATGAAGATACTCTATTTATACTAAAATAGTATAAGAAATAGTTTGATTAATAAATTTAAAATATTTCTCTTTTATAGACTAGTTATATAATATTATAATTATAGTTCGTAATACTATATTATTATTTTATAAGTGTTTGTAAAATATTGCCTAAAGATGTTTCCTATATAATAGATACTATATAGTATCTTCCCCGCGGTTAATAATATTAAAAGTAAATTATATACCCTTTTATTTAATTATTAAATTATTTATAATTATATATTTAAGTACCTAACCCTATAAATTACTATACTATTTAATTAGTACCTTTAAATATTTTCTAATAATCTTAATAGTTTAATTAATTATAAGAAAGAAGGTAATAGGAAGCTAAGATCCGTAATTATCCTATATTATAATTATAAAAAGAAGGAAGCGGTAATAGTTTATATTATATATTAAATCTATAATAGTAATTACGCTATACTCCTACAATATTTTTAAATTTTTATTTCTTATAAAGATTAATACCTATATAGGCTTTTCCCTTCTTTTCTTTATTTTTAGGTCAATTTCTAATAAAAAAACTTACTTACTTCTCTAATTATTAAGGTTCTCAACCTCTTTAAAATACTATTTATATTCCTACTAAGGAGTACTATCTTTATTAGTATAGTATTCTTTCCCTTCTAATTTTAAATTAAATAATATAGTAATATTTATAAACTTTTTAGTAGTAAGGTAACGACTACCGTAACAAATTAAACGTTTTCTATATATAGGATTATTATATTTAAGAACCATTCTTTTTACTATAGTAATAGAATGATTTATTAAAAGCAAGTATATAGTATACTCTTTAATAGCTTATAGTAAAGTAATTTAATTGTAAAAATCTATATTGTAAGTATGTTAATTAATAATAATAATTTCTATAGAGTCGTTTTCTTTAATTAATTACTTAAGACGTACTAAGTAGGGTTGGGAGGTACGAATACTCTTTAATATTAATCCTTTTCCTTCGTTACATAGCGCCTTTTTCTAATAAAAGCGGTAGTAGTAATAATACTTTACTATAAACTTTAATACTACTATTAATAGCTTTTTCTTACTTATATAAGAATTTCTTAGTAATTAGAAGTATGAAACCTATTACTAGTTATAATTCTACTTATTAAATATAATATAGAATATTTTTACTTTATAATATTGTTACCGAATAGTTGCTATATTGCTAGGGATATAAAGACTATTATTTAGTAAATTTAGAGTTATTTGAATTAGTTTGATAGGCTTATAGTTCCGTTACCTACGTCGAGTGTATTAGTTAGGTATATTATTCTCTTTATTATTAGAGCTAGGAATAAGTGAAGAAAGTATAGGAGAGGAATTTAGTAGATACGGGTATACGTTTATTAATTCTATATTTAGATATTGGGGAAGTATAGCTTTATTAAGTATATTAAATATATTAGGATTAAGATTAGGCGTAGTATCCTTAGTAATTATTTTTATAAATAATTAGTTAAAATAAATTTCGTTGATAGGTATTGGAGAATTTAATATTCTACGTTCCTATATCGGAATTGTATCGAATAAATAATTAGTATATAAATAACTATAATATATAATAGTAAATTGTTTACCTATAATATAAGGTTTATACGTAGTAGTTATATAGAGTAAATTGTACTTTAATAGTATATAGTAGGTATAATATATAATAGATTATAGTGAGTAATAACATCCAATACGGTTGTAGTTACGCGAAACTTACGGGTTTAGTAATAGTTGCGGGAAAATTGCGGAAATGCAGTGTAAGCGCGGTATAAAGGTACAAAAATTATTAGTGGGCGCTTAAGGGAACTTTCAAATCTTGGGCAGAATATCACTTTTGTAGTTGGTTAGGGACCTGGAGAATTGGGAGTGGGGTTCATTTTTGGGACCTGGATAGAATGCCCCGAGCGGGTCTTGGACATGTAAGTGATAAGGCTTTGATAAGACTACCACTATGCCGATAGACATAGTATGATGCTGCTGCTGACGGCGACGGGAAACATAGCGCTCGGGCCATGCCGTCGTACGATGCCAATCGAGTCTCCGTCTGTGGCGTTGCGGCGGTCCGACCCCGCAGACTTTCAACGCCGTGCAACCCCCTCTCGTTATCGAGTTGATGCAAACATTGATGAACGACATTTAAATAATCTCCATGGGTGTACCTTGAGATCCAGTTGCGAGCAAAAGGACGTGATCTCATGGTATGAACCGACAAGAGCTGTGGCCGTTGGTGACACGGCAAGAGGACCGCAAAAGAAACCGAAGTATAAATGGAAAGCCGGAGCAATTCTGCCTTCTAAAATCCAGCACCTGATGACAACGGCAAACTGCCCTGGGCGGCGCAGAGAAGGGTCCAAACAGGAACAAAAGTGCTCCTGCGGCCGTAGGCTCGTAAGGGCCGTCAGCGGGCCTTCTGGAATGCAATTCCCGTGGCATTCGGCGGACTCCGGAGGGTCCACCCCATCTGAGGAGCTCGACGTTACTTGATTTCCCCACAGACAGGCGGGCAAGCTAACCGTTCCTTACCGTCAAACCAACACATCTGGATGTGGATGGGCCACCAGGAACCGCCGCGGGAACGTCTTTGTCTTCCCGGACATGGGGCACGGGGCGGAAGGCCGCGCACCCGCGCGCCACTGTCCTGGTGCTCTGCTGCGCTCCAAGGCGCATTCCGATATGTCCTTGTTACCATTTCGTTATCGGACGTTATTCACCGTTCCCAAGCTGCGTTACCACATGGAACGCTCGGTCAAGGGGGGCGATGAGGTAGGAGGTGGTGGGAAGGGGGAAGTCGCCTGTCTGCGATGACACTTGCAGACAGATGAAGCTTCCAAGTTGGTATATAATTCTTCAAAGCTCCTGTCCCCAACCCAGTCTCAAGTGAAGGTTTCTTCTCCTTCTTGTTCTCTGTCCCATCTCTCTACATCCAGCTACTCTTCAGCTACAGACGACATCCACATCGCCGCATAAGCTTAATCTAGGTTTTGTTGCTTGCCAGACTTCGTTGCTTGCCCCAAATTCCTCTCACAGCTCCTCGTCATTGCATATCCAAAGCGTCCATCTTCGTTTTCATTCCTGGATCTCATCATCCCCGCACCCTTCTTATCAACTCCGAACTGTGTTCCCCTCTCCAGTCTATAAGCTTCAACATAAGCCAAAACCAAAAAACACCACGATCAACGACACGATGGCCCGCCTTTCTGCTGCCCGCTATGGCAAGGACAATGTCCGCGTCTACAAGGTCCACAAGGATGAGAAGACTGGCCAGCAGTCGGTCACCGAGATGACCGTCTGCTGCCTTCTCGAGGGCGAGATCGACACCTCGTACACCCAGGCCGATAACAGCGTTATTGTCGCTACCGACTCCATCAAGAACACCATCTACATCAAGGCCAAGGAGCACCCTGTCAACCCTCCCGAGCTGTACGCCAGTATCCTAGGCCAGCACTTTCTCGACAAGTATGCCCACATCAGCGCCGCCCACATTGACGTGACCGTCCACCGCTGGACGCGCATGGTCATTGACGGCCAGCCCCACCCCCACAGCTTCCTGCGCGACGGCCAGGAGACCCGCAACGTCGAGGCCACTGTCACTCGGGACGGCATCACCATCAAGAGCGGCATCGTCGGCCTTCAGGTGCTCAAGAGCACTGGATCCGCCTTTCACGGCTTCGTCCGTGACGAGTTCACCACCCTCAAGGAGACGTGGGACCGCATTCTCTCCACCGACGTGGACGCCGGATGGACTTGGAAGAAGTTTGCCAACCTGGCGGCCGTTCAGGACGGTGTTGAGCGCTTCGACGCTGCGTGGGAGGCTGCCCGCAACATCACACTCAAGACGTTTGCGGAAGACGAGTCGGCGTCGGTACAGAACACCATGTACAAGATGTGCGAGCAGATCTTGGATGCGGTGCCCGAGACGGAGAAAACCAACTATTCGCTACCCAACAAGCACTACTTTGAAGTTGGTGAGTACCACTTTTGCAAATCCACCAAAAAAATAGGTCCAGATAAATTGACACTAACACCCAAAAAACAGATCTCAGTTGGCACAAGGGCCTCCAGAACACCGGCAAGGACGCCGAGGTGTACGCTCCCCAGTCTGGTCCCAACGGTCTCATCAAATGCGAGGTCTCTCGCTCGTAAGACTGTTGAACTTTGTTTTTAAAACGTCACACATGTTTCCTTGACTCTCTTCTATGATATCACCATTTTCTTGCATTCCCCCTCACGTTGCGAGGGGTTGGTTGGCGGGCAGGCGTTCGTTTTGAAGGTGGAAAGATGATGATACCATGATGCAACGGATCATCATGAGACGTAGGCTATGGACATCTTGACTGGCGCTAATTTTCAGGGGTAACCAAATAAACTTCCTATTATGAACAAGCAAGCATCCGAAAAGCGCTGCTAGCTGCATTCTTGGAATACCAAGTGAAAAGATATGCCGTGATATTGGTGAGGCTGACTTTTGAGCTTCGCGGGCCTTCAGCTTGATGGACATGAGAGATCTGTTCGTCGCCCTTCAGATCATTAAACGATCAAGGGGTCCAAACGGCTCTCATGAGTCATAATCATGGTATCTTGTTGAGTGATATATTTGTACAATGAGAGGCCCCCTTTTTCTAACCCAAGTTCGTACACTGTCCGTTGCGCGCTGGGCTCACGAACCGGCTTCCCATGTAATATACAGACTGACTCTGGCGGCATTGCCCATGAATCACACGGCCAAGTGGGCTGTAACCGACACAACAACACACGAGAGAGATTTCTCGCTCCAACGAGGTGGTTGTCCACACGATCTTCCTCACAGTTGACAGAGTCTTCGGTCCTCGTCGGGTAGATGGTTCGTAACGGCTCGATGTAGATTCGTCCCTACATCTCTTTCTCTCCCGTTTCTCTGACACTCCTCCATGAGTAGATAGCCAGCTCCAGCGCCTTTAACCAGACCTTCACACCTCAAAGCCATGGTCGCTCATAACCTCTCCATGTCCGCCTCCCGGATAGCCTTGACAGCCTCCTCCCAACCTGGAGCGCCCACCACCTTACCGCCAAACCGCACCAAGTTCTCCTTGTACGGGTGCGCATCACCCTCAAACGCCTTGAGCCTCGCCAGTCTCTTGTCGCGCAGCCTGTTCTTGGGAAGCATGCCGCTGACGGCCTTGCGCAGCACCTCGGCGCCGCCGTGCTTCTCCATCAGCGCATCCATGGTGATGGCCTGTAGCGAACCGGGCCGGGTGTTGTGGCGGTAGTACGTCTTGCGCCACTTCTTGTGGCCCGTCGTGTACAAACCCGCGCAGTTGGTCACCACCACGTAGTCGCCGCAGTCGGTGGAGGGATCCCAGATCGGCTTGTGCTTGCCCATCAGGATGGTGGCGATGCGCGAGGCGAGACGACCGAGAGAAGGGGGAGTGATGGCCTCGGCAGGAGCCTTGATGGTCGAGAGGGTAGGGTGAGGGGTGACGGCGGAGATGTGGTGCCAGACACGGGAGTAGGCTAGTCGGGTCTACACGTTCGTCGCAAGATGGCGGTGGTTAGTTACGGGTGGTGGAGGTGGGGGTGGTGGCGGGAGGGCGAGCAAGTGTCAAGGTTGTAAGAAACACGACAACAGTATGGGACAGTTGTGTCCGAACAGGAAGAAACTTACAGCTCCGACTGTTTGCGACATGTTGACGGTGTTGCGCGGTGGTGATGTAGGTCGTATACTATGGTGTTCAAGAGAGGATTAAGGTGGAGAAGGCAGGTATGAAAACCAGTGGGAACGAGTCCCTCATCGACTGGTGGTAAGTGAACCTCTATGTGTTATCGTCCGGGTCAATTGAATGACACGGGATCGGGCGGGCTCCGGAGTGTTCGAGACGGCGGGTTCGGCAGGCGCGAGAAAGTCCGGGGCTTGTCGCGGCGAACGGGTATCGAATGTGGTCCGGTATCACGGGAAGCAGAATGGAGCTCCTGCAGAAGGGCAGCAGCAGAGCCTGCCAAGCCCAAAAGCTGCAATCACTTTTCTTGCCGGAAGATTTCCACGTACGATTGGGGCACGACGGCCCGCTGGCGGTTGGCGGGGTGGCTACGGTGGTCCGCAAGTCTTAGTGTGTAAAATTGAGAAAAGCACTAACAATGGAAATGCCAACTCGGCGCACTTGGAGCTCTCTTTTCCTACTGATGTTCCATGTACCAAAGCCTGCACTTCCTTTCCCGGTACATATCACACACTGCACTTTCGGGGAGCAGGATTGCCCTGGCTTGGGCCGATCGAGGAACCGGACACAGCGGAGCCCCAGTTGGTCGCCCGCAAAAAGTGGTCCCGGGGAGGTGCCGTCGCTTTGAAATCAACATTTGGGCAGGCCGACATCTTCCTTCCTGCCGTCTTACAGTGAAGATGGCCCGGACAACGACATTTCGTACTCCAGTGAGGTGACTTCATGCACTCTCTTGTCGAGAAACAATGATGAATCTCAGCACAAGAGTCGCATTTACCCCGTCTCTTAAGCATCCGTAGACTGGAGCCAAAACGTTATTAATTGTACCTAGTCGTCCCCTCCTTCACCGAACGTGGGGCTCTCCTCCATCGCCTTCTATACAAATCCATCGTCTCTCGTTGGTGTTGCTTCTCACACCACCACTTCTATACTGTCCTCAGTATTGCCTTTTGCTACCTCTTAGTGCCTGAAACCGATGCCACCGTACACTGCCAGACAAATCATAGGTATTTCTAGTCTAGCTTTAGCAGGTTTTGGAGGCGCATACCTTTGGCAACAACGCCAACAACATAGGAACTATTTTCAGTCACAGTCATCCCCGGCTGCTCCCAAATCATCAATCCCGAAGACAGCCGGCAACATGGCTTCCATCACAACCCCCTTTAAGGTTTGTTTGTACCCTTTTACAGCCTCATTTCCATATATACCTACATATGAGTCTTGGTCCAAACCCTTCCTTTTCTTTGAATAAAGGGTCCAAGCCTGTCTCACATATCTGACTCACCTTGATCAACTTCCAGAGACACATCATACTAACCCATTTCACAGACTCTCTTCGCCGTGCCCATGCACTGCGAAAGCTGCGTGAACGACGTTTCCGGTGCACTCTACAAGCTCCCCGGAATCAACAAAGTGGAGGCCAACCTGAAGGACCAGCTGCTCACGATAGAAGGCACGGCCGCGCCTTCCGCCATCGTCAACGCCATCCAGTCCACGGGCCGTGACGCCATCCTGCGCGGTTCCGGCGACTCTCAAGGCGCGGCCGTCAGCATCCTCGAGACTTACCACAAGCCCACCCTAGACAAGATTACGCCCGCCCCGGGAGCCTCGGATCGCATGGTCCGCGGCCTGGCGCGCATGGTGCAGGTGAACAACTCGACCACGCTCGTCGACCTCACGCTGCGCGGCATCGCGCCGGGTACTTACCGCGCCACGATCCGCGAGTTCGGCGATCTTGCGCGAGGTGTTGAGTCGGCCGGCCCGGTGTGGTCCGGCACTGCTACGCTGACGGCCGACACCAAGGCGCAGATCTCTGGAGACCCTAACGCCCCGCGCGGCGTGATGGGAACGGTGGAGATCAACAAGGACGGACGCGGGAGCGTGTTCCTCAGCCACCCGTTCCAGATCTGGGAGGTGATTGGGCACGCGTTTGCTGTCGCGCCGGTGTCGGTGGATGAGAGCGCGGGAAGTACGTTGGAGAACGACGAAAATACGGTGGTGGGCGTGATTGCGAGGAGCGCGGGCGTGTGGGATAACGACAAGACGGTGTGCTCGTGCACGGGGAAGACGCTGTGGGAGGAGAGGAAGGATGAGGTTGAGAAGGGGATGCTGTGATTACCATGCGAGATGTGTATGGTGTAATGAGGTCACTTTGCTAAATGTACAATATGGGCAATGGGTGGGTGGTCGACAAGAGGCGGACCTGTGTAAATATTGGGATTATGCATAACGGTTCAGAAAGACCAAGTCAACACGTACGGGCAGATAACTTGTAGGATATGGTGGAAACAGCCATTTTCTATAGCGGTCAGAAGACACAGGGCTCATATAGGTAGATGGCAATGCGTGCAACTATGATGAAGCAGTTCGGTGTAAACTGAGGGCTAACTCCATCACAGATTTTCGATTGAAATGGATGAATGTAAGTCGGCGACCATGTCTATTACATAAACTTCGTTGTATTCAAACATCAGAAAATTGTTGCAGGGCACCAGTTGAAGCCAACCTATTGTATCTCTTTCGGCATAACAAGTCGAGCGTCTTTGCTTGACACCCATTGATAGAGCGTGTTAGTGAAACAACGGGTTTTGTGTGTAACCAGCCCGAGACACAAAAGTTATTGTCTTGTCGGTAACTCTACCACCTTCATAGGCGACAACGTAGCATACAGCCAAAGAACCGTGAGGACATGGGATTCGCGGTGGGGGATGGCTGAGTGAACTTCAAGTGTGTTGTAAATCCCATGTGTCTTTCTGGTTCTCCTTGCATCTCCAATGGGATACAGTAAAGGGATTAGGGTGTCTTGGTTCTTCTCAGGTGTCGTTGACGGGTAGAGAAGTACTAGTGCAGAAGTCTTGGTGTTTCCTTGTGTTACAGTCATGCGGGTAGAGGTAGGAGAAATACTCGTCGATGGCTACTACTTTGTCTTATGGGGAAATGACCCCACGCATCACAAACCGGAAGTAGAACGGAACGAGTGTCATCCAGTGACCAAAATCCGGGCGGTGAGACAGGTAACTTGGTCTAATGTTATGCCGAATCCAACCTGTTGCCTCGCGGAGCGATGGATGAATGTGTTCTCCTGATGCACATGAGATTGTTGGACACAAGGCGTTTTAAGACATTCTGTGTCTGGCCCTGGTTTGTGTGCCTTCTTGGCGGATTAAACTCCAGCTGGTCAACGGTTTCCAAGCTGTCCTCCACAAATTATCGTGTTGGAACAGCCCTGGGCTTAGGTATCCTCGGATTTGCAGCTCGTCATTTGAATATCCCGAAGTTCCGTGCTACGCGATTGGATTCTTCAGGGTCCCAGTGCAAACCAGGTTGAGCATGTAGGAGTACAGCGTCGGTCTTTGCCCCTTGCCTACCTTACTTAGATCTGGCCCGTTGAAGGCCCGGCTGAAATGCCGATCGATGCCCGGGAGGTGCCGAACCATATCGTTTCTTTGGTAACATTGCGGTGCCCCAAAATTCCGTTGGCATTCCACGCTTGCTGCGCCGTTACGGCGCCGTTGTTGGCAATCACAGACTCTGCAAACACAGCTATACAATAAGAGAGCCTCACGAACAACTGTATAAGCGCCGGGGCTGTTTGAGGCCGTAGAAGAGACCTGGTTGAGCCACAAAGTGGGAGTAAGTCTAACAAATCAAGCCGATGGAAGAGAGAAGATTGGATAAGATACACAAGCGGTTTCAAGAGAGAAGTCGATTGCGATGCCTTATAATTGGTAGCGTTAACTGGTGGTCCTTGCCCTACGTCACATTCAACCCGGGTGCTAGTCCAGTGATAGGGAGAAAATTACTTACCACACTCAATCCGAATCCGAGATGGTGGAATGACAGGGCATCTTATTTTTGGGTCCAAGCCGTTATCCTTCTGTCTCCGCTCGCCTCGCAATCGACAAGACGAACAACTCTAGCTGGCATGGCCCAGTGTTCGTGCGTCATTTTGAGGGTCGTGATATTGGCAATCACGGGCCATCATATGAGAAGCTTGACACACATCCAGCTGAGAGACATCTCTGTCATTGTTGTTGCCGTGTCTGCAGGGCCCAGACATAGTCACTGTCACTGTTACAGAAGGTTGGCAATGCATTCAACCAATATCTCGACTCGCTGGCCGTGATTGGGTTGAGGCGGTTCGTTTCGGAGGGAATTGATGGCGCTTAGATAGCACCCAAGAGGTATTTTCCCAGAATTTGGCGATGGGAAGCTTCGAAAAACGCTCGCATTCGTTGCTCCTGAAGGCCATGGAAAAAACGACCTGGCTGTCTGTGCCTCGGGACAAGCCCGAGACCCTGTTGAAAGACTGAGTCAAGCTTCTTGTTGTTGAGAGATGAGATCCCCGCAAGAATCAAGATATGGATTTCCACGTGGTGTCAGTGGGATAGCTTCGATTTGTCGTTGTAACCCAGCAGCCAAATGACGATGAGGGTCGGGAAGACGTTGGAGATGCAAGTCTGGAATTCCGTCTGAACGGGAAGGGACGAAGTTGGAAATACGCGCCAGGACACCAGTTCCTAAGAACCAACCAGAGAGTGGAATGGCTGTGTGGATTCCATCTTGCATGAGCGAGGTGGGTCGTGATTCGCAAGGGTCCAGCAGTTCTGTGACAGTGCCTGGTGCACGTCCGTCCCCCGACCACATTGCACCGAAACGAACGAACCCCTTCCCCCCTTCAAGCTGTCAACTCGTCAGTCTCACTCTTTGGCATGCCGCATGTACGCAACTGCTCGAAAGGCGGAAATGAGAGAGGAGACATGGGCCATGAAGCTGGCTCACCTCCCAGAGTGGGAACTGAACACAATCAGAGCAAGACATCGATGGAAAGTCTACGGTTTGGGAAACTGCTGGAAGAACCCCTCGCTCATCAGAACCCACGAAATACACCTATGTACTGGGAATGTTACCCTGCATGCTCTACACGTGTGCACTATTTTCGCCTTGTTACTTTGGACTCCTACCGTTGGATGCCGCAGCAGGCAATCTCATCACATCACCTGTTCCCTTCCTGACGTCCAGTCCTCTGCATTCTGAGCAGTGGTCCTATAAATTCGGTCTTTGTCCTGGCCATGTACAAGACCATTGCTTTCCTGCGCCTTTCATAGGCTATACATGTGACGGGAACCAGAAGCTTATCACGGTGGTGGGCTGACCAAGTCTTGGAAAACATGCGATGGTAGAGCCATCTGAGAAAGATAATTTGTTCCTTGACACCACCGTCACGATATTGCCAGCACTGCCAATACTCGGCAACATAAGGGAAGCCAGGAGAGCCCTCGTTTCGGTAGACAAGAGGCCGAGTGAAGATGGGGAGGAGGTTCAAACTCGGATGCCCCTGGAAGTGTCACCATCAACGGGCCATCCATGCTGGAATCCCTTTGCAACCGACATTGACCTCTTGGGTCCCGTCCGTGTTTCTAAACTTTGTCTCCTCGTTTACGCTCCGTTTTGATCTCGGTTCCCACATCATGGTCGTGATGGAAGAGTCCCAGGCCGGAGATTCAGTTGCAACGTTGAATTTCGTGCAGTTCGTTGAGGTGCAAGTTGGCTTTAGATTCCACTTGTCCTGACTAGCCGGGTTGCCCCTGTGGGCATGGACCCTCAAAAGGCTCGGAGGCTCTTGCCCTAGCGTCATCAGTGTTTTAGCAACCCGGCAAGCACGGTTCACTCACCCATGATCGCCTATGTGAACTCACAACCCCAGACACACCCCCACAGCTGTCCACCATGTCCACTGTACCTTGCTGCCGCCTGCACTTTAACAGCCTTGATTTGTACCTGCTACTAGGTAACTCAACGCTCCGATCTCATCACCCTCGTTCTCGACTCCTCCACACAAAGACCAATTATTCCCTCTGCCGATTCCCAAGATACCTATTTTCGTTGGCTACACGGCCTCTTTTCTTCGTCACTTGACGAAATCCTCTCATTTCCATTGTTCCGGTCACGATCGACCCCCAAACGCCAGTCCTTTCTAGCATCCCAAACCACACAGCCAGCAACGTGCATCCATTCCTCCTACACTTACACTATTCCTAATTGGCAACTGATAGCCGCCTGCCTCCGAGTCGATCAGAGACGTTCACTCTTCGGGCTGATCCCAATCCTTCCCCGCGATCTCAAGGACAATTTCCGAGCAGCTGGACCGGGCGCCTGTTGGCTGGTGGCATTGCTGGATCATCAATTGATACCCCAGCACACCCACCTCAGTCATACTTACCACTACCTAGAGGTAGACAACCTATACCAACTGTTCAGTTTCTGTCAGGGACCAGAGGCTACAGAGTACAGGTTACCTTTCCTGCTGTCATCATCTGCATCCTGCAATTCGATATTGCTCCCGCCAGCCTGTACCCGCTGGTACCTGAACATCGTCACCTGGACCTGCGTCGTGGGGTCCAATAACAAAGACCAAAGACGGACAATACCATTGTGCGAAAACCTCCAAAGTCAGATCACAGGCCGTCACATGCCAAGCTGCCGCTAAATCAGCAACATCAGGTCGGTGGTTAGCATTTTAATAACGGCCATCGTCCAGTCCCACAGCCTCCTACCTCTACGACCCAGTTCCCACGGACCCGACTCCACTGAGAAGTTGCAGGAGGAGCTTTTGGGCCCACGAACAAGGCGCGGAGATCTCGCTGTTTCTGCCCAGGCCGACCGGCCCAACAAGACCAGCCAGGCTCAGCACCTGCAAACCAAGCACAGCCAGACCCGTGAAGAGTGCTGCTGGCGGTGCAAAAAAAGAGAAAAAAAAATTACAAGTGTGGGAAGCGGTCGAAGCGGTGCCATCCTGCCGCTGACTCGACCAGCCAAGAGCAAGTACCCCTGCTGCCACCCTGCTCCCACTCGCTACTGGTGCCCCAGGTCGCGGACAGTGGACTGTCCAATCTGCCGCCCACTTATACAAGACAACAGGCCTGGCCACGCACGCTCAACCCCTCTGCATGTTTCGCTGTTAATCTCGAGTCGTCCCGATACACCACCTCCCATTTCTCCATTGCTTCGGGTCCGCGTGGGCCAAAAGTTACTTCAAGATTCTCGCGACTTGTTTTCCAGAAGGGCTTCCAAGTGTTTATTTGTCTGTGTTCGCATCTCCCGCTGCTCTTTGAGCCCGGCATTAACCCGATTATACGCACCTTTAATCAACACCTCAACATGTCGCTAAAACAGGTCAGTACACCTTTTCGTCTCATATCGCCTCCTTTTATCCAATCTGGTTCACAAAGCTCACATACCATGATGGCTGCAGGAAATAGAGACCTGGGTCTCTGCCCTGGCGCAGTATGACAATAGCGAGTTCGATGCTGCGTTGCAGGAGTTCGAAAAGATTGCCGACACCTCCAAGATCCTCTTCAATATGGGCGTTATTCATGCGACACTGGGTCAACACGAGCAAGCTGTAAGTCGCGGAACATACTCTTTTTTGGTCACACGGACCTAAGCTTACTGATACTATTCAATCAGGTCGAGTGCTATCAACGAGCGATCCGGCTCGATCAGTACCTAGCTGTCGCATACTTTCAACAGGGTGTTTCCAACTTCTTGCTTGGCGACTTCGAGGAAGCATTGGCCAATTTCAACGACACACTTCTATATCTTCGAGGCAACCAAGTCATCGACTATGCGCAGCTGGGCCTTCTCTTCAAACTTTACTCATGTGAAGTCCTCTTCAACCGTGGTCTTTGCTACATCTACCTTCAACAAATCGAAGCTGGTATGCAGGATTTGTCGTATGCGGCCAAGGAGAAGGTGGTTGAGGACCATAATGTGATCGATGAAGCGATCAAGGAGAACGCAGAGGTAAGCGCATCGCGGATCTCCAAACTGTACTATTGCTGACGAGTGCTTAGGGCTACACCGTTTTCTCTATCCCAGTGGGCGTCGTCTACCGACCAAACGAAGCGAAAGTGCGAAACCTAAAGACCAAAGACTATCTTGGCAAAGCCCGCCTAGTGGCAACATCAGATGCGAACAATGCATTCACTGGTTTTGCTGGTGCTGAAATCAAGAATGTTAGTCTTTCTATGTTGCCCTTCTCCTCTTTCGCAGTTGCTGACATTAGGAAACCAGGCCGGGAAACTTGAGGTGAAGGATGATAGGCCAGTCGAGTCTCTGTCTTTCGCCGCTACCAACCTCGTCAAGCCTGGGCTACAGAGCAGAAGGCAACAGTCGGAGCCCCCGACCAACCGAAGCATGTTCCCGCCGACACCGCCCCCCGAGAATGAAAAGTCGCAGATGAGCCGCGGTGCTTCTGTCCGAAACGGACCCAAACCCATGCCGGCTAGGCTTAACCTCGATAAAGTCCGACCGAGTGATCGCTACGAAAAGACGTCGCCAGAAGAGCCCTCTAGGCGGCCTTCTCGCGCAGCATCGGCCACCCCATCCCGAGGTTTCTCCCAACGCGAACAGCTCCCGCCGCCAAGAATGAGACGGTCTCAACAGGAGGAGGAGGACAGTTACCCGAGCGAATTATACGATATGTACGGCGGCCCCGGCCCCAACCGAAACAGCCGCGGACAGAGGAGCAACCGAAGCGCCCCGCGATACATCCAGGAAGAAGACGATGAGAGCGACTACGACGTTTCCTTCGATGAGGCTGAATTTGAGATGGTATCTGGTCGTAGGCCCAGTCTCAGCACGGTTCGAAGCTCCGGAGGACGCGGTTCTTCTAGGCGGCCTGAACTTCGCAGCATCCGTGTCAAGGTGCATGCTGGTGATGTTCGCTACATCATGGTCGGAACTGCCATTGAGTTCCCCGACTTTGAGGAGAAGATCAGGAGCAAGTTTGGGATTCGCCGCCGCATCAAGATCAAAATCAAGGATGACGACTCGCCAGATGGTGATATGATCACGGTGGGCGACCAAGACGATCTTGACATGCTCATTCAGACAGTCAAGCAAAATGCAAGGAAACAAAGGTTGGAGACCGGGAAGATGGAGGTAAGTTTTGCCGCTTGGTAATTGTTTTGCTGCATTGTTCATACTAACAACATCAATAGGTCTGGGTCCAGGAGATATAGAACCAATTCGCCATATCGGTTTTGCTACGCTCACCAATTATACCCTCAGACCGATAACGACGGATTGATGCATGAACTTAACGATGTTGTCCTCTTCTTTTCTTGTTCTGTTCTTCGGGATTTACTTTCGAGTTCAAGTCCTCATTCGAGTATCTCGTATGGGCCCTGTCGACAGACCTGTACTTTTGGCATGAGAGGCTGTGCCCTCTATGCTTTGTATCGCAATACCCCTTTTGCATATCAGACTATTTTGTTTCTACTTTTGCATGGCATATTTGGATATATAAGGTGGAGGTGTCGGGCACCAAGGAACAAAAAGATCCTAATATGTTGTAGCCTTGAAAACATTCACTTGTCTCTCTTTCTTAAAATCCTCCTGCTGACATCCCATATCGACATCACCCCCTTACCATGTTTTATACCTCTTTTTTCCCCCCCCTTTTTGAATTTGAGACGTGAAGGTTTTTGGAGTCGGGTCAAGCAAGGTGTACAAAAATGATAATTTTCAAAGAAAACAAAGTTGGATATTCGCGAGCACAATTCACTTTGTCATAATACCGTTCTCAATGTTGAAGCGGGTGAAGGATGGAGGAGTCATGACGGACTGACGAGTTTCAGAAGGAAATGTTAGTGTAACAAGGAACCCCACTGTAACACCCCACTCCTTGGAAGCTTGGAATGACAGAGCTTCACTTTTGAGAGACTTTTGTGCTCTAGCAGTTAGTTGCGTTCGGTTATCGATGGCATGATACCTGCCCTTGACGAGAGAACCTTACTGGCAGGCACGCCTCCCATAACGCCACTCGTCATCTATTCCACTTCCCTAGTAACTAGGTAACCACTTCCAGCCTGCCCTCTTCACTCTTGTTATTGCCTCACCCTGTTCCGTTCTTCTTGGTTTGATACATATCTCTATCCTCCCTATCACCTAGATATCCTAAGCCCATCAGGGATCAATCGGCTTCCTCAACATGAGTGCCTCCAACGACAGTGGTAGGACACTACCCAGAGTATTGGTAATAGCAGGGTCGGACAGTTCGGGCGGGGCGTTAGTACCTTTTTTTTTTTATTTTCTTGGTTTCCAGTATCATCAGATCTACGCCCATGTTTTCTCCGATATCCATATTCTCGTTGCCCTTATTTCCTCGGACTTGGAACAGCGATCTGACGTAAAACAGAGGTCTCGAAGCAGACCAAAAAGTCATTGCCGCTCATGGATGCTATGCTATGACAGCTACCACCGCATTGACGGCCCAGAATACCCAGGGAGTGTACGGCATTCACGAGGTTCCGGTGGACTTCCTAAGGAAGCAGATTGATGCTGTGGTGGGTGATGTCGGTGTTGACGTTGTCAAGACTGGTGAGCTCGTCTCCTTTTAAGAAAAGTCGTAAATGAGCACTAATGACTTTACTGGAACTAGGCATGCTTGCTTCGGCCGGCACTATCGAGGCTGTTGCCCAGGCTCTTCAGGACCACAAGCTCAAAACACTGGTTATTGACCCGGTAGGTTTTTGATTTTAGCTTCTTTGTTTGTTTGTTTGTTTGTTTGTTTGTTTACAATGCCTTACCCCTTTCTGTCTCCCCAGTGCCACAGTGCACCATCCTCTACTGAGTTCCCCACCCACCACCATGCTAAGAGTTATCTTGTGACATCCCATCGCCTACCATTTACCACAGCACTTCTAAACATATACTTATACATTCTCGTAGGTAATGATCGCGACAACAGGCGTTGAACTCCTCCCTCATTCGGCCTCCCGTGCTCTCTGCGAGAAACTCCTCCCCATAGCCACCATCCTGACGCCTAACGTCCCGGAAGCGAACAAACTCCTACTCGAAACCGGCCACGACCAGCGCCCGGTTCAGTCTGTTGCCGATCTTGAGGATATTGCCATCAAGGTGCAGAAGCTTGGGTCAAAGTGGGTGCTCGTCAAGGGCGGTCATAGTCCCTTCCGCAGGGATGGCACTGAGGCAAAGACGGAAGATGAGATGGAAATCGTCGTCAATGTCCTCGTGGGACCTGCTTCAGGGGAGACAAAAAGAGACACAGAGGGCGAGATGGTCAGGATCGAGATGCCGTACCAGAGGTCTAGGAATACCCATGGTACTGGTTGCTCCTTAGCTTGTGAGTTTGAGTCTCTTTTACGCCCGCCCCCATCAAAGAACCTGCGAGTTCGTGGACTTTGTAGCGATGACCTGAATGACTAATCATTATTATCAGCCGCTATTGCCTCGAACCTCGCCAAGGGGATGGACATGGTTCCGGCTGTCAAGGCCGGAATTAGATATGTCGATGCCGCAATCAGGACGGCGCCTGGGTTAGGCCAGGGGAACGGGCCCCTCAATCATTTTCACTCCGTCAAGGCACTTCCATTCTCTTCGTGAGCTTTCCCTTCCCTAAGTGATTCACCCGCATCTTGCTGCTAATGCTTCATCAGCGGTCACTTCCTCGATTATCTTCTTGAACGACCCGACGTGGCCCCAGTGTGGGACCGCTACATCCATCACCCGTTTGTCATGGCCATGGGTGATGGGACTCTGCCGAGAGAGTCATTCAAGGGATATTTGATGCAGGATTATGTCTATCTCGTATGTCCTGGCTGGTTTCGCAGTACCGGATTTTGCCATATTGGCATTTATCTCCCCAAGTATACATTTTTTTAAACTCCACAGTACTGACCCGTTACCTGGTACAGATTCATTACGCCCGTGCAAACGCATTGGCTTCGTACAAGGCCAAGAACATCGAGGACGTTGCTGGTGTACGTTTACCATCATGAGTTCAATGCTTCGCATAAGGGTCAGGCTAACAAAAAGGGATGGCAAAGTCGGCCGCTATTGTTGCGAACTGCTTCAGGGAGATGAATCTCCATGTCCAATACTGTGCTGGTTTCGGCATCTCCAAAGAGCAAATGGAGAAGACCGAGGAACATCAAGGTAAAACTATCCGTTTGCTCTCTGGAATCCATGTATCAATTATCTCAAGAGCGGGATCAGCTAACATCCACGTCTTTAACAGCCTGCACGGCATATACAAGGTAATTCCTCTTACACTCTACCCTACTAGGCCTTCCAACCCTTTTTCCCGCTTTCTTTGTCCCTTCTCAAGCCACAAACCCACTAAACACCTGACCACCCAACCCTACAGATACGTCCTAGACATAGGCCAATCCGAAGATTGGTTCGCTCTCCAGATGGCTCTGGCCCCATGTCTCCTCGGCTACGGCGCCATCGCCAAACACCTACACGCCTCCCCCAACTCCAAGGCCAACGAAACTGACAACCTCTACTGGACCTGGATTACCAACTACGTCGCGGATGACTATACCACCGCCGTCAAAGCGGGCCGTGAACTCTTGGAACGGCATGCCGTGCTGCAGAGCTCCGGGAGGATTGAGGAGTTGGTGCGCGTTTTTGTCCATGCTACCAAGGTGAGTGACAACTACTTGTTGCTTCAAACGACTGGACGAAATATGGAGCACAGAAGGAGAGCAGAGCTAACAAAGTGGTTTGATCTGGCGATTTAGATGGAGATTGGATTCTGGGAGATGTTTCCGTACAAGGCGGAGGAGGGTGGGTCCCAATGACCGTTGGCCGAGAGTAAGAGAGGGCTTGATGGACGAAGGCACATGATATGGCAGACAGCGTTGGACACAGCAGCATCTATTTTCTGGGGTCGGTTATCTTTGACTGAGCATCGGATTTCTTTCTGCGTCGCGCTTCATTCCGCTAGCTCTCTGAACTTTTGTTTGTTCAACTGAATCTTCGGTTCTTCTATGAGCGAGTAGCGAACAAGTGTGAAACTGGGTTCCTATTTTGAATACTGCAGGCTACACTGGTCGGCTAGTGTACTTGAGTTGCTCAGTTGTCTCGCTCCCGTCGATGGCACTTCAAGTTGACTGCACGCACTTCGATTCTTTTCACTACCTCTACTCTCACTCTCCCATTGGCCGTGGGTTCTAACGCTGAGGCATAAATCACCTCATTGATCGGGTTGATCTAGTCTAACAGCACTGTGCTGCACACAAAGTGTTCCTCCCTCACCAACCACCGCCCCGTCCCAGGCAAATATTGACATCACCGTCACTCGCCAACAAATCGCCATTGTACACGGAACACCCACGACGAACCGAGTAAGTCGTAAACGAGCCAGCGATATCGACGAACTTAGGTACCTTTGTTAGTTAAGTGTCGAACCTCAACACTGGCAAAATCGATCGCTCTACTACCCCCTCTAACAAGCTTCTGGAGGAAAGCCCTCTCCTGATTCGCTGAGTTAGGTGTTTTCCTTCCACTTCTCACCAAGTAGAAGGAACTAGGGGGGAGGGGGGCGTCCGTAAGGGACGGAAGTGACGATGCTCTCGTGCTGAGGCTCAGGGTGAGCAGTGACTCTGACAGAGGAAGGTGCGACTCGTGTGAGTGGGAAGGACTGCTTGAGTGCCGCGATGTAAAGGCGGACGGAACTGTAGTAGTTCATCGCAACTTGAACAAACGAGTGGCAGTGACGACCAAAGACCAGCGGTCGATTTATTGAGCATTGCGGCGCTAACTGAAGGCACAACTCCGTTACGGTAAGTAGAGGTACTTACCGTAGGTATGAGCGAGGGACAGATAGACTACGGTATTCAACGGACCGTAGAAAATCACCAATGCACTGACAAGTGAGCAGATAATTAAGTCTAGGTAGTACAATGGCCTTTAAGTCTACAAGCTTAGTTCCGTACTGACCGACGCCTATGGCCTGCACTTTAACTTCATCAACTGCAATGTTTTGATATATGTGGCACTGCACTGCGGTTGGGACTACAAAGTTCATTGATTCGTAAAGTGAAGGTAATGTCATGGCAATTGCAATGGGTTGCCAACTTCAAGACTCGATTGAGTAGAAGAATCGTGGCCACATTGCTACACCATGACTATATAAGGTACTGAGATCTAGTGAATAACTGGAAACGACAGAGCGATACACTATACAACAACAACAACAACGTTCAGTTGCGCGAGAGGAAAATACCTACTGATCGCAATCACTTGGTCGTTTTTCAACATGATCTCAACTCACACAGGTCTGCCATATCAAACAGCATCTTTGCTGGCTGAAGTTGTGACAAGATGTGCTTGTGGATAGGTAAGTATGCTAAGCAGCTTGGGACACTCTTGAATGCCTTCCCATGCGAACTCGCTGGAAATCTACCGACAAGCCGATCTCATCCATGACGAGTCAGTCCACATCACGGACGGCTTCTTGATAGCATGGCACGTCGGAGACAACTCCGTCATCAAACTCCAGCCAGCTTCAAGACCGACTTGAGCTTACCAGCAAGGATCCTCAGACCGGGTGCTCTGACTCATGCACTTTTCACTCACCACCTCAGTACCGGCAACTGAGTCTATAGTGAGTACTTACAGCAAATAAAACTGAAGATGATTGTACTGTGTATCCAAAAGAAACTTCCACTTACCATGCAGAAACGAGCTGACAATCCAAGTCGAACACCGATAGATAGAGGTACCTATATGGATTTCGACTCGCATCTCCGCGGTTGGGGTGTTTTACTGACCGCCGGCGGACTCACCGATGGGTGCGGACCTTCCATACGGAAGAGTTGCGATTCTCATCCGATTGATCACCAATTGCACGACCTCGCTCGAAAGTGCAATTGTGACAAATGGACATTGCATCGCTGGCGCCCTCCGGAGACTCATCCTCATCCTCCTGAAACGTGCCTCCTCCCTGTTCCCAAGTATTTCGATATTTCACTTGAGGTCGCCGTTCGGTTGTTCTATCCTGCGTGATTCCACGTCAGTAGCCAGGTCGAAGAAGGTGAGCTGAGTTGGCCTGTTGGTGTTCAGCGAGCGGTCTGTAGTCTGACCTGTCTGCTTGGTCTGCTGACCGCTCGCTGTTCCAGCCACTGTTTTGACACGTATGTCTGTGTGTACATAGTATATGTGTCCGACGGGGATCCCCTCAGCACAGTCCACTAAAACATAGTAGTACCATTCACCAGCTTCACGGTTTGTATTCCGAGGCCGTCGGCAATTGCGACAGGACAGTTGGAATTTGAGGTTGTAGCTGGCGCCAGACATGTACCTCTAGTTCATGGACAGAGCCTCACCTGTAACGGGGAAACTACACTAGACCGATGCGTGCGATATATGGAGGAAGGTACAAGAAGCAACGATGCCACCGTCGTAACGTTGCTGCCATGTACTAGAGGTAGTTTTCCCTCCGTATATTCCAGTTCCTTCCTCCGCAGAGCTGCAATAGCCATCTCGCGACTTTTTCAACTTCAGCCTCCACACTCCATCATCCGGTTATGAACTGAAAAAGAACTGCCAAGCCTGTTTCCATTCAAGTCTTCTCCAACGAGAAATGAAAGCGGCTTTCGCTATCAACGATGATTGCGGTTGGTGTTGACAACCGCAATCACAGGCTTTCACTCCGTTTCCTCTTCCCCGTACATCGGCCTAGCGCCGGTATCGGTTAGTAATCACCCACCACAGCCGATGACTTCAAGCCGTCGGATTACGGCTTATGCTTGTTCCCATCACGAGGACCACGAGACCACGCGAGAGTGGGAGTACTAGCGATGAGACAACCTGCGACAAGAGGCTAGAAAGCACTTGCTAGGGTGATACTGTGCTGCTGTGTTGTACATGATAGCCTGTATCCATGCGTTTCGATAGTACACTACACCCAAAGGACATATAGAGGGGGTTGGTTACATACCAAGGGGATCTGATTACAACGAGGCGCGGCATCCAGCGGTACAACCAGGTCCTCTGTGTGGACAGAATAAAACCGCCCATCGCGGGTTTAAGGCGGGCCCCGGTCCCTGTCCCCGGCCCCCGGGGGCGGAAAAGATGTTATCCATGAGGTATCATCGCCGAATCCCATTCCACTGAGTGACCCAAAGGTGTACCATGCAGTCTCTAGTACTGTATGTACATAGCAGCAGGCAGCGGCTATCGATATACCTAGCTGTCAAGCAGCAGTCCAGCCTAGACCAGCCTCCCCCCCCCCCCTCTCTTATACCCTGCGTGCGATCAGCCTCGAAAAGCCCACACATGATCGCGTTTGACCGTGACCGCGTCTTGCTGCCCAAGAGCCAAGCGTGAGACAGAAAAGCCGCCAGTGATGTACAATGTAAGACAAGAGGCCCTGAAGGTTGAGAAAAAGGAGCAAGGACCCCTTTTCTCACTCCCTAATGCGTTGCTAGTCGTTCGTAGTGTAGTCGGACGCTATCCCGTCCCATCTCTACGGTCCGATTTCACAACACAAATCTCGGCGGCCATGACGATCTCGGTGGTCATCGGCCCGGCGATACGAGAACCAGGACGCGGCATCTCCCGTCAACGGGCCCAAATGACCCTCAACCATATCCATCGAGTAATGAAAGGGCTTGTGTCTGTGTCCAGCACGCAATCTTGGCGGAGACTAGGAAGTGCCGCCGTAACGACCCCCCCAGTGGAGATTTTTTTTTGTGAGTGTTGAGCGGGCACTGACCTAAAGAACTCGGCCTATCGCTACCGTCTACCCGTCAGCGGCTGACCATCTTCAAGGTGAGGAGGAGAGGCCCCGGGAACCCATTGTGTGTCTCGGCATCCGCAGTGAACGGAGTTTCAGCGGAGTTGGTCCAGGGAGCAAAAGAGTCGACCAAACATAATAAACAGGGAAAGTCCCTGCTTCTTATGTGCACACCATTTGTGACCCCCGTCTTTGCTAGCGATATCTTCCTTGGGGCTCCACATAGTCCCCTCCCCTCTGTTCTCCTCTCAGCCTCTTTCCCAAGCCCGCACACACTTGCGGGCTCGGAAGCTTAGCGTATGGAGCTTCAAAGCGGAGGCAGGCTAAAGAGAGCCTATCCGTTGAACTAGGCTCTCGGTTCGACTCTTTCTGTAAAACGAACACGTCCACACAATCAAGGCCATCCCCGTCCGCTATGTTTCTACTGCGGTCTTGCGCGAGGTGAGAAAGGGAGTTGGAGTCCACTTGCCAAATTTGATCTCCGTGACTAACAGCATCATTGTTTCGGGTGCTCAAGAAAGGCCGTTATGGATCCGCGTTGATGGACACTCCTTTTCTGTAAAAGGCCTTTTTTTTTTTTTTTTTTTTTTTTTTTTTTTTTTTTTTTTTTCCTTGTCGACAGATGCGGTAAAAGCAGGCGCCGTAGTATTGGTTCGTACACTAAATGCCTGAACAGGATGTCGTCTCGCGGTGCTTGCATCAGTGGCCCGGACAGTCTTGACCGATTGTGGTGCAAGCGCCGTCCTTGATCTTTGGGCATGCCACATGCATGCGATGTCCAACGAGGTCTAGTGTTGCGGAGCGATCATGCAGTCGACACAAGTTACCTGCCTCGAACGCACCATGTACACTACAATGTGAGCAGTTGTATCAGAAAAATACATGCGTACGGTACGTACCAGCGTTACGAGCTCGCCATTTGGGTAATTTCCCAACGGTGGGGACAGGCCAACAAGTGTGAACTGTGTAAACAACTCAGCGGAGAGGATGAAACATGCAAGGCCCTTTTGCCTGGCGCGCCTGGGTGGAAAGAGAGAACTGCAGGCAGGCAGCGTCGGCAATTCTTTGGGCTAAGGAGCGAGAAGGTCCTTGGTCGACAGCCTCAAGCTCAACGCTATGCTACGCTATCCTTAGTGCAACCACTCTGCTGGCACGACGCGGCTCTGGGGATAAGAAGACCCTACAGATTCTTAATGCTACTGCGTTAACTGCGCAGAGTTAGGGGCCCTAGGGGACGATCAGGAGCCGACTAAGCCCTGCCATCAACCAGGAATGGCTTCACACCTTTGGATCTCACCGTTCACCACCCGACAGTAGCAAGACGACTCTCAGTGGACCTCGATCTCCGGTAGGCTTTAATTGTCGTCGTATGTATGTATGTCCCGGACATTGCGATCTCAGGTTTGTATTTACAAACATTTGTCGACCACCAGTTCACACCGCTAGCCTGCAACGGACAAGTCAGCGTCGAGAAAAATAGGATAGGGGAAATGACACAGATAGTTATGATAGGGTGAATCAGGCTGAATTGGTACTGTGCGGGCAGTGAGTATGTACATGGTTTAGGAAGGAGAAGGCAGAGCGAAGATGTTTTGGTGCGTAATCAAAACCCACGAGAAAGGGTCCGAATTGGGGACCAGGAAGAAATCTCGAGTCCAGCGAGAGGAACGTCTTGTGGAGCTCCCGACAATGGCTCTGGCTTGACTGGTTAGCGTGTGGGGGTGGGGAAAGGCGCAACAAGAGGCGATCCATGAGACTCGGCGGAATGTGGGAGACTTGGCTTGAAAGGGTCATGGTGAGAGCCACGGCATATCTCGCCCACGTAGCTAGTGTAGAAGTCTCGGCATCGGTATGGTGCCGCTATCATGGCCTCATGGATCTTGTTAGCTAACGTGTACATCGTCGATGGGGGAACCCTTGATCAGCAGATCACATCCAAATGCATCCTGACCTCGCCCAAAATCCATCACTTTCGCTCTGACTGTTCTGAATTTCTGTGATGACACGGCTGAGCACGCACTTGCAACTTGGCTACCAGAGGAGCCACAATGTGAGCTGATCTGAGATCTCAGAACCCAAGTCTAGTGTAGACTTGGTCAAATCACGAGTGGTACACATAGATATGCGAGGGCTTCTCCCGCCGTTCTAGAGGCCATCCAGCTTTATCCTCTGTCAGAGACAGGTCAATGCGAATCGGAAGCTGGCCAATTGAAGAAGCACTCAATCGCGGAATGGAAGACGAAGAGGTAGCTGAACGTCGGAGCTCAGGGACATACATGTTCACGCGGAAGGATCGCGGCTGGCACTTTGGCGTTAACTACCAACCTTTTAGCACTACATAGTGTCAACGTGGCCCAAAGAATTCCTGGTACACGACACTCATAGTCAGTAGGGTGTAGTATGAATGTTAAACAGCCTTGGGAATCTACCTAACTAACCCTTCGTCCCAACAAGGAGGAGCAGCCGACGGGGCGATCCCCCGCCTGGACGCTCATGGCAAAATCGGCAGTGGTGTTCTGGTGAGGAGAAAGAAGCGTTCACTCACCCACCTGCAATGGGAAATCGAGCCGCAAGGTAACCCCCGAGTCACGCCAGCGGTGAAGGGGACCACCTGCCAGTGATGGCCAGCAGAGATAAGGAAAGGACGTGGATGATGATGCCGTCGGCCAGAAAACCGCAATTCATACATCGTCTGAGGTTGAAATTAGGTGCCTGGTCCTGGTATAAATGCACGGCCAACTAATTCCCAAGTAGCCCAAGTAACCCAAGCTGCAAGCCCGGAGACTAATGACTTGACGGATCCACGCGGTGCTGTACCGCACAGTGTGCAGAGCTGCACCTTTGCGCCCGTCGTAACTTACACAGCGATGGGCCAAGTGAGCACACAGTGCTTTTTGTAATTTACCCATGACTGCACCGTTCGACCCTCGAGCTTCCGTATCTGTAAGATACCAGGTAACCTGTTACCTCGTTACATGGAGCTATTGACCAGCAAAGGACATCTTCACCAGATCATGCCAGATCAAAATGGAAGGAAGGCAGCGTCAAGCAAAAGACTTCCCAGTATGGCATCTCAAGGTGGCATCGTTGCTACGCTGCTGACTTCACGTCTCCGCCTTCGTCGCCGATAACACTTCAACGACGTTCGACGTCGACGGCGTTTGACGACGTTTGGCGGGGACGGGAGAAAACAGACCGCAACGAGTTCACAAAGAGACAGAGGCGTGGCCCATCTGTCAGTCAGTCTGTCACTCACTCACTTCACTCACTCACTCACTCACTGCACCATACTGCACCGAGCTGCACCGGCGCGGCACCGTGAACGCTGCACACCGTGATCACCAGCGAGCGACTGACAACGACTTCCCGCCCCCCTTGGCCTTCCATGGGTCCCGTCTCCAGATTTGCGCGAACCCCTGCTACGTAACCGACCATCGTTCGCTGGCCCTCGCTGGCCGCCGTCAATCCCTTGCAATCCGGCCATGCCACTCGACCACTCGAGGCCATATGCTGTGTTGCCTCCGTCAAATAGGATTGGGTGCCTTCACCGCGGAAATATGGCCGCCAACCCTTCTTTGCCCACTTGCCCGAAAGAAAAAAAAAAAAAAAAATCCTTCGCTTTGGGCCAACCAACACACAGCAGAAGCCAGAGCCGGTAGCCGACCTGCCATCCTTGTCAGCCAACAATGACATTCGATGGATGGCGTCGATGGCAACCTGCACGAACAGAAAAAACTTGTCACACACAAAACGAAGCATTCAAGCAACAACATGTCAAGAGCGACCTGGCTTCGAGATTCTCTCCGGGACATAGGCAGTGACAGGGCACTGGCCGAACAGTTTCCAGGGGCTACACAATCTGGATGGCAATGCAAATGCAAATGCCCACTGGCATGGTGCATCACCTTCATACGAATACGGTCATTATTTATCTTGGCGGTAGGGTTCCAAGCCGAGATCGCGGTACGGTGGAGTCCGGTGAGCGACGGGCGCTCCCTATCAGGCCAACTCGCTGTTGCTTCATTGATTGCACCTTCAGCTGTGTCTTCCCGTACATGCCGCCATGATGGGGATAGGAGAAATTGTAGAGGGTCGCGAAAACCATCCGCATACCAAGTATCTTCGTCAGACCCTTCCGATGGAAGTTTCGACGGAAGGAGACGTGCGAGTCAGCTACAACTAAAAAGAAGGGTTTAACAATGCTGCCATCACGTGCATTCGCGTAGCTGCAGCTTTACTCTGAGGTTGTACTGAACTACGTCACCGTCAGCGCGGTTTCACGCAGCTTCAGCGTTCTATCCTCTGCGTTTCAAAGGAAACATCGAGCCGTAGGCCTTACAATGCGGCTAAAGCCTAGTGCTAACGGCGCGAGCGCTGAACGGCCCCCAACAGGATGAGGCGGAGAGGTACGGTTGTACGTAGTATGTAGCGACCTACGTGTTACGGTGGGTTCAGTTGAAGCTATCAACAGAGCCTCTTGCAGTTTGGTTAGCAGCAACCCAACAGAAGCATGGGAGATGCACAAACAGTAAACCATACCCGAAGAAGCAAGGCCTATCAAGCAATGCGATGGCTCACCAATCCCCGGCTCACACTTGACCAAAGGGGGGCAAGGCCGCTTTGTCTGCGCTAGTCCAGGCTGATTGATTGGATTGTAAACTCCTTTCTTCCCCCCACCGTTGTCATCACAGCGTTACCCTCGTCGCAGTTGATTATGCTCCCATGCCGCCTCCACGCTTATCACCCACAAGAGAAATCATCCTCCACCATCATCCAGGCCAAGGAGGTTGGTGAGAAAAAATCATATCAAAGCAGTCAGACTTTACTCGTAGCGCCTCTACTCACGTTTACCTCCTTCAAACCTAGCGTCCCCTAGCCAGGTTCATGATCAAGACTGGTGTTGCGACAACAGGTCGATGATGAGTATTGTCTCTACAGTCGGTAGAAGACCAAACGGAGTGGTTCGAGGCCGTAAATTACCCAATGAACATATCTGAAAGGTGCTGGTTGTCGGGTTTCCTTACGGAAGTCTAGCGGAAAAAACAACTTGTAACATTCTGAGCTGATGCTTTCAGAGCACACGGAGAGAGTTGACTGACCATTGGAATTCGGTCATCTTTTTTGATATGCACTGCTGACTGGAGGGCTGAAATGTCTCCTCCTTTCAAAAGGGGACGAAATCTCAACGCTCGCCGACATCAGCTGAGCATTGAAGTCCTTCACCAGTTGGGTTGTACCTGCTTCAACTGCCCACACCGCTTCGCTTTTGCTTCCACGTTTCAACGTCTCCCCAGCCATGTTCTTTCATTGTTGCGTTGCTTTTACTACAAAAGAACTCACCGCGTAGACCGCGATATGCATTCTCTTGTCGCGACAAGCACATCTCTTGCTTGGAGCCTTGGCGCACCGATCAAATCCACTCAGGTGGTGTGAAAAAAAGGTCCGAACATTCGCTGGGTCTGATTTGGTATAAGCGTGTCCGGACTTTTGTTTTCCACACCACCTGCCATCCAAGAAGACATTGGATGATGTTCAATGTCGCCAAGAATTGCTGTTTCGAGACAGAGAGCTTGGGGGCTGTTGTCGGTGGCAACGCAAACAAAGCCATGACGGCAGCACGGCAGCCACACATTCACCCAAATTTCACTTGATGGCTGACTTTACGGAACGGTGGACTGGGATGGGCTGACATTTGCCATTCCCGACAGACGGCTTTCTTCTGTTCGTTGCAGGCAGCCTCGGTGACAAGTGGAAGGCGACAGCCAAAAGCATCATGTAGGTAGGTAGTTTGGCTTTCTCGCTAGCCCACTTTCCGACACGGAAGGAAGGAATATTCTGGGGTAGGTATTGATGTATCGACGGGCACCAGTGCAGCCACGCACTAGCGGGCATCGTGTCACTACATGCCTATTTTGGCGCGTGGCTCAACATGCCTACACGCCACTGAAAAGTAGTGTACACGATCCAAGTGATAGTGCAAAACACATCAAACCTGGAATGGGAATGGAAAAGGCCCTGGCAGTTTGTCCATGATGATCATGCAAAATGGTCAGGAAGGGAAGACTTTCCGGCATCTGCAATAATACAATGCCGACTTATGACCGCTACTCCGGATTGGCTTTTTGGAGTTTGGGCAAAGAAGGTTGGCTTTTGGTGTTTCGAGACAATACAAAACTTTCAGCTTGCCGCCGGCAATTGGGCATACACAAGCTCACTGGTGTGTACCTCATGGTGACAGGTACGTACCTGATACGCCTTGTAAGTTACCACTACATACCTTACCTTTTAGCGAGCCGACCCAGCACGGGCGGCCCCGAGAAATTGGTGTCGCGCTAGTCAGGAACAGTGAGCGGCCATACGTTCGTACTAGTTTAGTGCCGAAGAAAACACAGACTAAAAACAAAGGTAAAACAAAGGGCACAAAAGCTTAAAACGTCCTTTTTCTCTGGTAGCGGCCTGCCACCCCCAGTTTCTTGTTGGTACCGTCAGTTCGGTAAGGGGAACCGGATACATACACAAATCGGGTGATCCTTGCACTGCCAATCAGTTAGTGGCCTCGCGATATCAAGAGGGGGAAAAAAATAAAAAAAGATTTGAAAAGTGAGCTGCCTTGTCGGTGAATAGAAATGTTCGTCACATTCGCTGTTTTCAATTATTCTTGCCTGGTTTGTAGCGGACATACTGTATGTATAGATACGCCCGTCGATTGTGGATGCCAAAGGTGAGCCCCGTGACGGCAAAAATGATAGGCAATGCAACATGCCAAGGGATGTTCGCAAGATGCCTGTCTTTCCGGATGAATTACCAACTGCCAAGGAAAAGGGCGTGTTCCAATTGCTGGACGGGATTGGGAGCCTGTCCCACATCGGAGCAAAACAAAGTGGCCCCCCCTGTGGAGGTACCCGACCTGACTATTGATCAACGACAGTTCGAACTTCAACGTCAATCCCAGGCGCGCTCGATGATATTGGGTCACCAACTAAATTGGTATCCATCGGATAGGAAACTGAGCATCAGTTCAAGATCATGACATGTTTAGTGTAGAATTCAAAGGATATTTTGTGTCTCTCAAAACTAAAGAACGGAAGCGACACGCAAACTCGGCATGAATGCGGACGGACTGATATGTATCTGAATATCTGGGTGCATCTAGGCGGGCCGAAAGCTCGGGAGTTGTTGGCAAAGAGGATGCTGTACACACAATGCTACGGGTTAACGAATTTCCCACGGCAATAGACAAGACAACCCTTGTAGTAGGGAGTGGAAGCACGAAAAGAAGAATGCATTCTTGACATTTGATGCTGCCTTGGATTGATTTGACAACGCGTTTTGTATTCCTGGACGGTTTTGTGCCAGCGGTAACGGATACAATGCTTGATTTATCAGGCCAGAGGCCGCGACTGCCGCCGGCGCGCTCGGGGCCAAATGTTGATGTCGTCGGCGGCCAGCAATATAGCCATGCGGATTGACGTCTCCGGAAGCGGCAAAATATCCCTGACTTTGACTCGAAAGACCAAAAGGGTACGTATTACACGTGGCAATCCCATCTTCGTGTAACAATGCTAGAAAAAGGGGGAAAAGTTGTGCAACTGACGCTATTTCTTCCCTCCCGCCTGAACCCTGGACCCTTCCATGCGACCTTCCAGCCGAGACTCGTTCGGTTGGCGCTCCCCGCTATGAGACAGACAGACGTCGAAGGCCTTTGACGTTGGTATGGGTAGAAGCAGGTTGCACAATCCACTACGTTAACGAGCAGTGAGAATAAGTTAATGAAAATGGTAATCCGCCTTCCGTAGCATGGTTCAAGAGTGCGCTGTGTCTTGTTCTGATGCTGGGGACGAATACATATATCAATTCCGGTTGCACTGATTGGTGTCCGAAAGGTTTTGTCACATCACGGTTTGAATTTGTTCTTTGCTCATTCTCAAGCTTCGGTATCTTTAGGTGGCTACCTACCTCTAGAGATAGTCATGAGAGTGCGAGCAATGAGACACTCCCCATCTCACGTTACACACACGCGCGCGCGCGAAAAAGGTTTAACATTCGGCCAGTTCCATAGCGGCACGGCCGCGGCGCAACGCCCTTCCCAAGTTCCATGGGCTTGGAAACCGGTCAACTAGCCTTAAAGAAGTAGTGTATCCGGGATTTTCTCACAAGAACCCCATACATTCATCACGCAAAGACACCAGACTATAGTGCGGTCCCAATAGCCCGGGTCGCCTATCTTTCATAATTGCGATCTGACCTCCAATGGTACATCCTCCACGTTCAATGGTGCAGTCATTCGGGTCGTTTCGGTTGGCTGCAATCTGGATTTCGTACTTATAAGTGGTGGACCTTTGGTTATGCGGCTGGCTTAGGTTGCCTGCGTTTGAACGTACGTTCTTTTGAGTGTACATAGAATAATTCGAGCTAACAGCCTTCGGGGACTTGAAAGTTTGGGATTTCTTGTCCGAAACATTTGTCTGACCATTGTCGATTCCTCGCGTTACGTTTTAAACGTGCTAGAAAAAAGCGCGACGCACAATTTAATATCTTCGTCGAAGTTTCAATCGTATACACCAGTTCTTTGACATATCTACACCGGCCTTCTCTTATATCATTATCCGGTTGTCCGGCACGCACTTCAATGTTTAGGTATCTCTCTCGCTCTAACTCGCAAATGTGCTCGCTTTCTCTGTCAGCAAAGGCAAGGGCGGGTATCCTTCCGGACCGGCATCATGATCTGTGGTGCGGAGTCGTTTGGAGTGACTTACGCAGTCTCCGCTTTGATCAAGCTACGGCGCCGGGCGCCGTCTCCATACAGCAGACGGGGAACCGGTCCGGTGGGGATAAATCCTCTCGATCTCAAAGCTCCGTCCCGCTTCGTTGTCTCCTGAATGGCGCTACGCTAACCACCGGAAATCATAGGGCCAGGCGCTAGTCATTGGCATGCCTCCAATAACGAATTTGTTTTGGATAATCTCGCGGAGGTTTACGAGACACCTTTACACGAGCATAAGGTGCTCGCGGGTGCTCTCGTGAACTGCCAGCTTTCCATTTGCCACATGAATGACTGGAAATTCTCACTGCGGCCCCCGAACTTTGCAGGCTCAAGCCATGGGCAAGAGGGCCTTATTGTCCATCCGTGCGGCTTCAGGTTGATTGACAGAGAGTCCTGTTTAGGCGAGGTTAGCACTGGCATGAAATTGTATCAAGCAAATTAGGGCAAAGCGAGAGGTTGAGGAAAAAAATAAAGGGGGGGAGGGGGGAAGGGGCTGGCACCCCCAACCCGACGGCTACACGGTATTGAATGGGCAATAAAAGGCTCGCCGCTCGAGGCGATTGGATTGTGATGGGTGGGGAGAGTGAGTATGTGTGAGCAGAATAGCGGCACGAGTGAGAAGCGCGTGTCACGCTTCGGCGCTGATCATTGTAGCCCATCTTTTTTTCTCCTGGGTCATCCCTTCCTACACTGGTGCATGGCAGTATGTATGGGCGTGATGAGCAGCTCCCATGCCTCCTGCGGACATTGAATTCCCCAAACTTGTCGTCCGCAGGGCTGTGCTGGTGGTTGGGTTGACAGGGCCGAGCGTCCACGCGGCACCAGGGAAGAAGAAGCAGAAAGGTGAAGAAGCCATTGTATGTAGTGTGGAAGCACACCAAACATAGCGTTGAGGCCCTGAATCATGAATCGTCGCCAGCACAAAGTTGGTGTGGGCGACACTGGCGACTCTGGACCATGTTGTGCCGTCCAAAGATTGATTCCAGAGCTGTCTGATGTCTCAGGCTCCTCGCTGCCTTAGCTCCGACGCCGGGCAATCAATGTTTCCTTTGTCTCGAGGCAGAGCCCTGTCTCTTGTTCGTTTTGTTTGCGGTCTGCCTCGATTTCAAACTGCAGCAATGTTATTGGTTTCACCTCTAGTCAGACCATACGGGCGGGCCTCGAAGCGATCTGCTGCGGGGGCTAGCCGCTTGTTGCTGGAGTGCCTCGGCCCATTGGGCATCATCCACATTATCAACACCAGCACATCGTCGGGGTCCTGGACCGGGGTCATCGCCGTGACTCCGCTTGTCCTCACCCCCTCTGCGAACGGAACGGTAATAGAACCCCCGCGCTGGATTCCTCGTTATTTTGCCGGCGGGCTGCTTCTACGCGACGATAACAAAGAAATAGCGGTAGTTGGGGTGATGGTCTAGGTATACGTCTGTCTCCATATACGACCGCGTTGTTTTGTTCGAGCGTGATTGCTAGTGACGATAATGGTGTCGCAGAGTAAGAGCGGAGAGCAACGCGATCTACCGCTCCAATTTGAAGCTTCCATTTTGCCATATGCTGATTGAGAAGACCGCATGTGGTCTTGTATTAATCTGATCCGCGCGCATCAAGCAGAGCGCCTACGTGCCTTCTCTAGCGCCAGTAGGTATGTTCACCAAACGCTTCATGGTCGTCGAACTGCTTCATCAACCGCGGTGAGTTGGGCAATCGTGATCAGCTTGAGGACTTTAACCTTTTGGTCTCCTTTGGAAGTTGTAGCCCACATTATCTCCGCCCCTTTAGGGCAAGGTCGGCAAGCAGGGAAGGCACCCGCCAGTACACTACGCATCCCGCCTGCCCGCCTCGCGGTCTTTGCTGAAAACAGCCTTGAAGGTACTTTCACTGGCTTGGCACCAAACCCTGTTCAGTGTCGACGGCAAACATGATGGTGACTGCTGAAGAATGGAGCAGTGATATCAATGTAATGTGCCAGATATATAAGCAGAGGCAGTCGCTCTAAGAGTCGTTGTCGTCGGAGTGAAGGATACATGCGCCTCCAGAATATCGGGACTTGGGACGACATCATGGAACGACAAAGTGGAGGAAAATATGGGCAGCAAAAATACGTCTTGGTCTCCAAACGGTACAATGGATTACCGTCACCCCGCACCGGATTACCATAACCTGTCAGACAAAGCAAACACTGCACAGTGTTTTACTCAATCCCCCCTGTGACGGAACTGCAGTCCAACTTCAATTGCTGGAGCACGAGTCAGAACGCAGCCGGCACCGGCGTGGAGAAGCTCATTTACTGCGAGCAGCGATAGACATGGTCATCGCTGGTTTCTGTCTTCTTTTCTGTCGATATCGGAGCAATTCAGCACCTCGGCTTTCATACAGTCATATTTTCTGGTGTTGATTATGGGTTCAAGCATCTGGATCAAATCGATCAGTCGCGACCGCTCAATTGGAATTCTTAACCTGTGGTCGTTGGGCGGCTCAGGTTGGGCGCGCCAGCACTGCACCACCTCCACCACCACCCGACCAGGTGTGCGCAGGCAGATCGACGAGACCATGCTACTTACTGTACATGTAGACCAACGTTGCGTTCTTGAGGCTGTACCTATGAATTACACACTACCAGTACCTAGTACGTATCTTACAGCAGAGTGGGTGGACACCACCTAGTTAACTCCAAGGAAGTACTTGGGTACCTTACCTACAGCAGCTCGACGAAGGGTCCTGCAGGCAGGCTCTTCACTGCAGTTGCAGTATTTTACACTCCAAAAGGCGATTGTGACCACGGACCAGGGTCCAGGGTACCTACCAGGGGACCCGGGCCTTTCACTGGGTCTCTCGACGGGGTCCCAAGGCAGGTAGGTTCCCAAGGTTCTTCACGTCTGGGGAGTCCTGGGAGTGAAGGGTGGATGCGAGAACGGACGAATCCTGGCCACCCCTACGGCATCTTTTGCCATACGGCATCAACCGTGACCCCTTCGACTTTTCCTCTGCGAAGGAGGTGGCCCATGGTCCGATATAAAAACCACTTGCGCCCGTTCTGCACGTGTAAACCCCTACTTGTCGGCTTGTAGTGGTGTCGCGCCCTCAGTTATAGGACCGTTTCTCTCCTTCCTCCATCGCCTACAAAGTCTCCGAGGCTTGATCTCGACCCATCATTGCACCGTCTAGACGCACGTCATACATCGCGTCAGGAACGGCTTCCGTTAGTTATAGTCAGGCCAAACCGACAGACAACGTCTGCGACCCTTTCCAGTTACGCAACAATCCGCCGCCTCTCACTTTGGTCCAGTGAGATATACCCACGACCTGCATCTCAGAGATCGCCCGCCGTCTCTTTTTTTCGACTCGGCCCAGACTGCTTATTCCACAGGACCCTTGCTAGTGTCCGGCTTCTCTTTGGTGGTGTGGTCCGGCCTAGTTGTCCGCCTCTTCTTAGCCGTCCTTGCCCCGTATCGTTAGTCTCGCGCTATAGCTGTCCGGCGTTTGTTATAAGTTTGAGACGTGGGAACCTCCATCCCGAGCCAAGTCTATCCCAACATGTCACACCATACCAACAGCACGACGAATAACACGGACCGTACTCCCCCCGAGTACTCTCACTCAGGTTTGTTCTTACCTTGGCTAGTCCTAGCAACACGACAGTCGCCCAGTCTTACTAAAGCTTCATCTGTTACAGAGCAAGCACCTGGCCCCGTGCCTTACACAACACAGCAGGAAGGACGCCCTCCCGTCTACCCAGCCGCCCCTGCCCCCGGCCAACCCTACCCGGCCCCGTCTGGAACCCCCGCCTCTGAATACGGCTACTCGGGTCACCGTGGAAGTACCAGTTTCCCAGACACGATGATGGGATATCGCTCCTCCCAGAGCCACCCCAGCAATGGCGTCCCTTCGTCCAACAGCATGTCGGGTCCTGGACACGCCTACCCTCATCCGGCCTATTCATCCTACGCGCCTCCTCCTCCCGACGTCACCAGCCCATACCAGCACAGCGGCCCCAGCGCAGGGCTCTACGCCCAACCCCGTCCCGACTGGGCGACGTATCAGCAAAACGGTCCCATGCAGGGCCATGCCGTCTTCCCCCCTACACATTCCCCGGCTCCCGCTCAAACTAGGCAGAATCAGGTACGAACTTGAAGAGATTCATGTTAATGACCAATTGAGTCTAATCAACATGTTAAGCAGGTTTATTCGTTTGTTCCTATCCCCGGTTCCACGCAGCACAAGCGACCACGTCGGCGCTTCGAGGAAATCGAGCGCATGTACAAGTGTGGATGGAATGGCTGCGAGAAGGCTTATGGTACACTCAACCATCTGAATGCGCACGTCACCATGCAGTCGCATGGAACGAAACGGACTCCTGAAGGTTCGCATGGCATTTTTACTTTTATCATGGCCTTTGCGCCTTGATCGCGAAGGGCTATTCGCTAACGTTGGGTTTCGCTTTCTAGAGTTCAAGGAGATTCGCAAGGAGTGGAAGGCGCGCAAAAAGGAGGAGGAGGCGCAACGCAAGGCGGCCGAGGAACGAGCACGCGCTGCTTCCACCTCCCAATCAACACAGAGTACCGACAACAACTCCTATGCCGCGAGAGGCGCCGTCCAACTTCCACCAATTGGTTCCAACACGCCAGTGTCGCAGTACCCCCTACCAGAATACAACGGCCCGGCATACCAGAACTACCCTCCCGGCTCTGGTTCCCCCTATCACCCCAACGGTTATAGCACAGCTCAACGTAAGTAATCAAAGGTCACTTTCTTCCCGACAAAGCATGTACTAATCATACCCAGATGCCAATGGGCAGGCTTAGTAGTGTATTCTTCTCGTGGTGACTAAGAGTCCCCACATCGGAAAGAGAGAGTGTTTGTGAACGACACGAATCGATACTGGTCCTCCGGAGGCGTTGAGGTTTTAAGGCGTTGAGGAAAATATCCAGAACTATTCTGTACGCTGTTACGATATCGGTGTGCTGCATTTTGTCACTGTTTGGATGTAAGAGAAAGAGGGTGTTACGATGGATGAGGCAACTCGAGCAATGCTCGAATGGCTGGTGTAATATTTGCTTATGGGCTGGTGTAACAAGAACCTTTTCCTATGCATTCTTCCGTTATTATACCTTTTCATTATATCGGCTTTCGGGGTTTCATTTGGGTTGCATGTTAGAAGGTGCATGGGGAGCGGGAGGTGGAGCGGTCAAAAATGAAAGGCGAAGATACCTACCTGTACGTTGTCAGTCCCTGAACTGGGGCAAAAAGCACTGAAAGAAGTGCGCCGTGAAGAGAAAGGTGTTGAAACTTCAAAGCTTGCTCCTCTCCGTCTTTGCTTGGTGCCATTGCTTGATGATGCAGCTTCTCCCTCTGCATAGAAGGGCGATGGGCCTTACGAGGTGAGGCTCTTGAGGCTCAGCGGAAGAATGGTTGAGAACGTTGTCTGTATGACGTGCATACAAGGGGGCTAGTCAAAGTAGGTATCCGAGTCTATTTTCTTGTTTCTAGAAAAGACGCGGAACATCTTGGTTCAGGTTAGGCTGAGACTGAATCCAGTGAGTACCATACTGACTAGTGAGTGAGTGGACGTGTGCTCCTACAAGCAAACTCCGCCGTCGCCTTGTACCACCACTACAGTTCCGAACCTCCCTTTCCTACTCCTGTGACCATCCGCCGGATTGGGTGGAATGCGACAACATCGCTACGAATACTGGACCCAAGTGTGTCGCAGGTGGTCCAGATGACCACCAGTTGGAAGGCCGCGTGAACGCAAAAGGGGGAGTGCAGCTGGGAAGATAGAGATACATGCTCCTGGAGTCATCAAACATCAACAGACAAGATTCTGTGGACGCCAATATCTAGCTTTATACGACACCAAGATCTACGTCGTCAGGGATCCAAGTCCGTCAACGGTCCTCTTTGTGATACGTAGGCAGCCCCTAAGCACGGGAACTAAACCACGGCAAGAATAGCGTACCGTAGCAGCGGTACACTAGTAAGGTTAGTCAACACGTGGTAGAGGGTGGGATGATGGCACAGAAGCGAAGTGGAAAGGGTCAAGTCCGTGTCCAGTCCAATCCCAAGGAGTACCAAGCCCAGCAACGGCGAGCAAGCGGCGACGGCGGCCGGGCAAAGCGGGAGCTAAAGTTTAAGAGATTGGAACACGCTAGTATCGTTCAAGTTATATCTTGATTACCAAGGCGAGTTTAGTTGCCGTTCCTAATTCCCATCAAATACAACTCTCTTAAATAAAAGCCCTACCTTACCATGAATTGTTTCCTTGCCTCTTCCGTCCGTTGCTTGCCGCTCTTACAGTAGCGTGCAGTTGGTAGGTGCATGCCCCGGTCGTCGTGGGTACGAAGGGGGTCAGTGATGCGTTGTGTAAGATTGACTTCATAGCTACCTCACAGCTACGTACCGCATCCCTACCTACCGTACCTCTCGCCTACTTACCCGACCTTACATAGTACATTAGTCCTGCCTAGCGTCAACCAGCTAAGCGGGATGCACTACATAGTTACCTACTTACCTTACAGTTATACCCGTTCAGGCCAGCCCAGCCAAGTGTTTCCCGTCTACCTGCTCGAGTCCCCGTGGATTTGCCTTGGCGCAAAATATAAACTGAAGCGTGAGCGGGCACTAAATCCGAGAGCATCCTAGCGAAAAGCAACAGCAGCAGTTAGGCAGCGCTGGACTGCCTGCCGGTTTTCCTGCCGCCACGCGTCCGACCGACCGTCCAGTCGTCGCAGGGTGAGCAACAATGAAAGAATGAATGAATACACTGACAAAGGCAGGGTCTCAAGAGAAAGTGTGTAACGGATGGTAAAGTAGGTAGGTAAAGTACCTGGCTAACGGCGGCTGTTAGAGCATTCAGCATCCGCATGGGGTTTCACAATCCTGTCGGCGTTGCTTGGCTTGCATGTTGGTGTTACGTAGGTACCTCTACTTACAGGGAGAACCTCTTCGGCCACGACCGGATACCCGGGCTTCCAACACCAAGCTTAGAAGAAGGATTTATGAATTCGCCATAATTTGTGTCTTGAAGAAAGGAATGACTCTTCCACAGATCTCCAACCATGGAAGTTGCCGGAGATAAAGGATCCCAAGGCCACTGAAGGTCTCCATCTCGACACGTATTCATGTGTCATGTATGATCCGCTTGCGTTGATAGAGTACCTCTACCTTCTAAAAACTCGATGGTACTACTACGCCTCATGCAGTCACATCGAAATTTCCATACGATCTTCAGTTGGTTGGAATTAGCGTCCGCTAGGAAATTGGCTCCATAGTGATCGCCCACCTAGCTCGCGTCTGTAAAGATACCAAGATAGAGGATTTGGCGTACATTTGAATAAAATACCTAGAGGTACCCAAACCCTGAAGTGTTCTGGTCTTGTGTGACCACACTACGCTGTGTGTCCCATCGTTCCTTCTCTTTTCTCTTTGAATCATAAGTTCGTTGTACCTAGCGTGATGGCGGCGCTAGAGGTAAGTCTACAGGGGCCACTCCTTCCTTCGGAGCATACCGGTTGTTCTTTCTTCCGCGATGCCGTCTCTTTTCGATATCCTAGGCCGATAACAGCATGGTTGAAGGAAGTATATGCGGGTGATTATGGTCATGATACAATGGTGCAGCGGAAAAAACACAAGACCAAATGAGGGCCACTGAAATGGTTGCCAGACCAAGGAACTGATGGACCGCTTTGTGCCTGGAATCACACTTAGCGGGTTGACTTCGGAGCTCATCGCCCGACAAGTGTATATTGTCAACGTCCATCGACCCAGTGGAACTCACAAGATTTCAGGAAGATACCGACATCCGAGGATGAACTCAACGAGAACGTGGACACGAGCACGCATTGATTAAAGGTGTGCCCCAACATACCTCAGTTAGACAGGGGACGAATTCGTCCGCAGACGGAAGAGTACAGCATGAGGAAATAGCCCCGAGATACGAGCCACTGTGTTACGTTGACTTGGACATTTCGAAGCATCTGATCTCGTTGTAATTCGCTGGCTAAAGCGGAAAACGCAGCTCGCCATATCGGTATGGTCACTCCGTAGTTCAATAAAAATGTTTCTGATTGGAGAATATAGGATCTGTAATTTCTGTTTTGGAGTTTGCGAAACGCTGATACGGCACATAAATGGTATACAGGCTCGATTAGCCTTGGTTTTCTGTTCCCCCGGTGGATGGAAGGAGTTCGCATTCAGCGGCTGGGATGGCTGTATGGAGTGTCCAAGAAATATAAACATGCCCGGAAAGATAATAAGACGTGATTATGAGAAGCAGATGGACTATTTATGAACTACTCATCAGCAAATATATGGTTACAACTACCTGGCAACTGTCCAGCTCAGGACCTGCTCCTAGGCACAAACTGACTCGCGACAACCCTTTCAGTAGCCTCAGTTAAGCTTGGACTATGCAATTGAGTGAAATAGGGTTCAATGGGAATGACTTACTGGTTAGGCATATGATGCCATCACCTTACAAAAGATCCCGTCCAGTCACCCTTGTACGCGCACTTTTGCTCCTCACTAGGGTCACAGTAACACCACATATCGGGAGGTTCTCCGAACAGCCACAGGGTATTCACCCTCGACAGGCAGCAACACGGCCGGAGCGGCCGATCTCTCCCAGCGCAATGGAACAGAAGGCTCGCGTGGCTGACCATGGCTACACGGCCAGGCTTGCATCCTCCAGGGAACCCGTAACATGAGACTGGTCATGCGAAAGGTAGCAGGGTCGGCTCGGGTTACAGCGCAGTGTCTCTGGTCGTACCTGTACACCGTAAGTATATCGAATATTCATGTCGAGTCGTAAGGTCTTACATACAGATTGTGTGGTAAACACTGCGACATACGCCTACACCGACCAGTACATGAAGCTGGATGTCATCACAAGCGGTTTGCACATCCGTGCTTCATTTGGAATTAGAAAGATGTTGGAAGGCCAAGTCAGCACGGCTGGTATGAAGTTGGGAAGAAAAGTCAGTAGCAGACAACCTCAACCACGCATGGGAAATGGGTGAGACTACGCATGAAGCAACTTTCTCCCTGTGGTGAGTTTAGAGTGTGATATCAGTTCAAGTCGAATTACTTGTTGAAACAAAGGTGTCGCACTTGCGAAAGTTGTAATCAAGAAAATCACAGGAGGTGGAGACCATGATGGCGCTAACCTCGCGGTTGATGTGTTTGAATATCAGCCCTAGGACACTAAGCCCTACGCCATTCCGCCTGTTTTTACTGGTGCCCCGGTCCAGTGGCACTGTTTTTAGTGTCCCCCACTCACCCGCAAACTCTTTCCAAGCATTAGGCTGTCGCGTGCCAGGCTGGATCATATCGCCGCATAGACAACGAACCTCACGATAGGACGACCAAAATTGATCAGAGTCCTGAAGGGACCTTTCAACAACCATGTTTTGGAGCATCATACCCGGGCTCGTCCGTGACGAATGTAATGAGACCTTTGCTTAGCGGGTGATAAATTGCTTAGTCAAGTTGAACCAATCGGATACCGTTCGTTGCAATCAAGAAAGGTGGTTGCAAAATTGTGATAGGGAATGTAATGATTCAAAAACGCATCAGCCAGAGTCCCTTTGGCACATTTCTGTCTAGGAATTGCGCAAAGATCAAGTTCGAAGGAGTAACGAAGACACTTAGATGCTTAGTAGAAGTATTCCCAGGGTATAATGTCAAAGGTCTCAACGATTCTGTCGGGGACGAGCCGGGGTGGACAGCATAGGTGTCTCGCGTGCAAGTGCCGCAAATCAGGCATGCCCCCAAGTCATTTTCGAGACTCCTTATCGCCTCAAAGTGAGGAGCTTAGTAGTCCTGAATCTCGTTTTCGACGAGTCGGCTACACTAGGGCGTATTTGTGTGACTCAAATGGAGACGATCAGCAGCGAGATGGCAAGACCATCAACTAAAAACGAAGTTTTCGTCATAATATCTCCTTGTAAAATGCCATCGTTGACATTTAGTCTCGGTGGCTTCCCTTGGGTCGTCAGTTGTTGAAGCATTTGAAAGCTGTAAAACACGGACACACTTCTGGCGAGGACCTACCTCACCTCACACATGCCCTCGACCTCGGCCCTCAATCGGAGCGCCAAGAAGGCGCCAAGACACGCCAAGACTGACCTCGGCCTTCAATCGGAGGACTTCAACGTACACAAAAATGAGAATTGGTACTGTGCTGTCTTACCACAAGCTAATATCAATAATATGATAATGTATACTTATTTAGGTTTAGCTTTCAAAAACTTAATTTTCTACAATCAGTTTCTAATATATTAAAAATTAATTTCCATCAAGTACGTAAGTATATAATATTCTATTTACTTCTTACCTTATATATTATATAAATTTAAATATTTGAAATAAATATTTAAACCGTAAATTACTTTTTAATATATTTCCTAATATATTAATAATTAATTTATATAAACTTTGAATTTTATATAAATATAAATATTCAATATACTTTTTACAAATATAAATTCATTTATAATTTACTATATAATATATTATAAATGAATTTTATATTTCTTTCTACTTAATATATTATATTAATATAAATATTGAAGATAACTATTAGGAATATAAAATAATTTTTAATATATTATTTAATATATTAGAAATTGATTTATATATACTTTGAATTTTATATAAATATAAATATTCAATATAATTATTATTAGTTTAAATTAATTTATAATATATTATATAATATATTATAAATTATTTTTCTTTCTCTTTCAATTTAATATATTATATTAATCTAAATATTTTAAATAATTCTTAGGAATGTAAATTAGTTTTTAATATATTAATTAATGTATTAGAAATTAACTATATATACTTTGAATCTTATATAAATATAAATATTCAATACTAATTTTCCAAATATAAATTCATTTATAATAATATATTATATAATATATTACAAATTAATTTTCTTTTTCTTTCTCCTTAATATATTAGAAACTAATTTATAAATACTTTCAATCTTACATAAGATTCTTTTTACTTAATATAATAATTCTAAGTGTAATTCTATATATAGTATATTATTAATATTAATTATACTTTATTTACTTTGTACTTTATATATTTAATTAATATAAATTTTTTAATATAACTATTAAATTTGAAATTGATATATATTTATTTTAAATCTTATATAAATATAAATGATTAATATATTAATTCCGGGCGTAATTTGATATAGATAGTATTATATAATATAGAATAGTTTATTTTTTATTTATTTAATACTTTATATTATTTTATATATATAATATAACTATTAAAAATATAAGTTACTTTTAATATATTTCTTAGTATATTATCAATTAATTTATACTTACCCTAAATTTCCTATTTTCACAAATACTTTATATAATTATTAAAAATATAAATTGATTTATAATATATTAAGTAATATATCTAGATTTCATTTTTTTTAATAAATAACTCTATATTAATTGTTATACTTTTAACCTTAAAGCTTATGTTAAGATTATTTTAATATAATTATTAGCTATATAAATCAATTTCCAATTTATTAATTTATATATATAAAATTGGGCTTATATTAATATATAATTCTATAGCATATTCATTTTTGATTATTATATATTGCTATTAATATAAATATCAAATATACTTATTATATATATAGATTAATTATTAAGAAATCAAAAAGTATATAGAAATATTCATTGGAAATTATTCTCTATATAGTAAAGAGGTTTATATTAGTTTCATTACTTTAAAACTTATAAATAATCTACTTATATTTATATTAAAATTATTTTTAAGAAATATTAATAAGTATTAAAATATATTTTTAATAAAATGAATAAAATCTAGTTCTATATATTTATTAACTTCACGTTTATAGTATTTCTATTTTTTTATTTAATTTAATAGGATTATTTATTATTGTAAATTTTAATTTAATATATTTAATTATATAAATTTTAAATTCTTTATCTATAGCTTCTTATCAAATTCTTAGTATTTTTAATATCATTATCTAAATATAACAAATTAGTATAATATTATAAATTGTGTATTTAAAATCTTCTATTACTATTTTAATTCTATTTATATAAAAAGAAATATCTTTATTTTAATAAATAAATAGAAAATATTTTATAAGAATATAAATAATTTAATATAATAGGCTTTAGAACTAAGAAATTAAATTCAAAATATAATAGAAATAAATATAATTAATATAATTTTAATATAAATTACTAATATACAAGAATACTTTTAAAGAATTAAATAAATAAATTATATTTGGTATTAAAGGATTATTTACAATTTACCTTTTAGAATGAAAAATTTAATTTAAAAATTCTTATATATATATAATCTTTAAAAATCGACTTTTATTTCATTTAATAATATATAATATTATATATATATTTATATATATATTTTACTATTTCATATATATATATATATTTATCCTAGAATAGATTTTATTTCTATTTAATATATAAAACGTATATCATATCTTTAAATATATATAATATATAGCTTAAAAGTTTTTATTTTTCATCTAAATCAATCCTAGATTATTCAAAGACTAATTAAAAGGGAATAATATAATTTTATCACTTCTCAATTTGAAAATTCACTTACTTTTATTAAAAAATAAATATATATATATATATTATTTCTATAAATATATTACATATTACAAATACTATTATATAAATACACACGTAATGGAACTAAAATTACACACCGCCTTTGGTAGAATCCATATATATAAACCCCCTCCCCCCCCCCCCTTCTTTTTTTTAAAACTCTTCCCTCTTTTCTTCTTTATCCTTCTCCTCTAAATTAATATATATATTACCTTTTTTTTAGATTTTTTTTAGAAAATTTTCAAATTTTTTTCAGATTTTTTTCAAATTTTTTTTTTAAAAAAAAAACTAATATTAATAGCAATAACCAATTCGAAATCAATTAAGAACCTATCCAAGATCAATTCGGAACTAATAAAACTAATATAGCGAATAATTATTCGAAAGAAATTACCTATATTGCCTATCATCGCTTAATTTAGCGTCCTACCGGCATCCTACCCTTTATATTTAATAATATAAATTTAATTTGTCCGTCTATAATTAATTTAGAATTAATTTCTAATTAATCCTTAAGCTAGTAAAATTTAAATTAGCGCGGGCGAAGTTTTTTACCGTTTCTAGAAGCCGAACGGGGTTATATATAGTAATAATATAAGTAATACTTATATAAAACCAATCTAGAATTAATTTTGGATTAATATAATATTAATTTTTTTTTTTAGTATAATTGGGGCTTAATATTGAACCTAAAAAAATACATCGGTAAATATTAGATAGAGGATAAAATATTCGTTATAATTAAGAAGAATAGTATTGGTAGTCCGACTCTTATTAAGAACGAAGACCTTATTAATAAGTAATTAATTCTAAATTAATTTCCAACCTATTTGAGACTAATTTTAAATAATTTTCTATTAGAATTTTATAAAGGCTATCAGTAATTATAAAGCTAATAACAAATTTAAGACTAATTTTAAATTAGTCCTTTCGCTTCCGGCTTACCCTCTAAAGGGTAAAGCGTTAGCTAGAAAGTATAATAATTTAGAGGGTAACAACGAGGATGTTATTAAAGCCTTTAAGGAGGATATTATTACCCCGTCTCTTTTCAAAAAGATTAAGACATTTACTACTTTGGAGCTACTGTAGAATAAGAATAATTATATAAGTATCTTAAACCAATTCTCGATTAATTATAAATTAATTTAGGATCTAACTTAAATTAATACAATCTTCTTATTATAAAATAAAGATTTATTTCTTTAAGAACGTTTATAAGGAATAAATTAATATTAATAATAAAAAGACTTAGGCTTATCCTAGCTACACCGAACTTAGTATTTAATATAAATTTATTTATAACCTATCTTAAATCCGTTTAGAATTAATATAGGATTAATCTAGGCCCTAGAGCGTAGCGTCCTTTTAAAGACGAGGAATAGTACGAAATATAGCTACCCTATCCGTTTAACGCGGAGCGTAAGGATAATCTAAGTACTATACTCGACGAGTCCGCCTAAGAAATAAAAAACTTTTACTTTATTAATTTCGAATCGGTTATAAATTAATTTAGGTTTAGTTTTAGATTAATCCCTATATATTAATTCTTAATTATAACCGATCGAATTCAATTATACTATTACTCTATATTATCTTCTAAGTCTTTATTTCCTAATATTATAATAATAATAGGAAGTTTTTTTTAAAAAAAACTTTTAGGTTTTTATTTTATAAGAAAAAATATATAAATATATATAAGAATAATAATAGTAAAAAAATAATATAAATTATATTTCTTTTAAAGAATAGAATTATTTTCTATTAAAATAAAATATATATATTTAATAAAACTTTGAAAAAATCAAAAATTATTATAAGATTTTTAAATATAAGATATATATATTTGAATTGTATAAGTAATATAAAGTAAACGATAATGAAAAAATAATACTTATAAA